TTATATAATTGTTTTGCGAAGTTTAGCGGAAATAAGAGAACATTGGCTTGAAGGGCAGTGAAAATGTGGAAGAGAATGAAATAACTGAAATGTAAGAAAATGAAAGTTAGATTCAGGATATCCACAATGATAAGCGTGCGTGTGTGTGTGCTGTAGATCATCTAGAAAAGACATTGACCTATATAAAACTGCAGAATTTTTTTTTACTTGCAAAACACAAAATAAATACTGGGTTTATCATGTTTTAAACATTTTTAAACATTTGGAGAGAAAAGAACAAATAAGGGTGCGCCTAAGACAAGTAGAATGAATATATAAAAATATATATCAGAGAGTATGAGCAATGATACCTAGAAAGTCCGAATATAAATAATCCACATATGCAGGATGTAGTCCTAGTGCTACATAAAATAGTATGTGAAGTCCCAGTTGTATATCCGCAGCTTCAAAGTGGATATGTGAAGAAAACAAAAGACAAGGGAAACTCCAATGGTATAGTATGAACGGTAAATAATATTGTATATATAATAGTAGAACTACTCACAATATTCAGAGCTTAAATCCAGCTCTGGTGTAAATGGCACGTAGTGGAATAATCCCCACTCAAGGATATACGGTGCTCCTCTTTTGTTCTTTAGCAGAGTACTTTGGTGGAGTAGTCCAGCTCGAGGTAAAAGGATAAAATATATAGTGCTCACTGTATAGTTGATAAAATGTAGAAACAGAATAAAATATACTCACGGTATATAGAGCAGACGTACTGCTCGGTGGATGGCGTATGGGTGGTATAATCCCCACCTTAGGATTCTTGGTACTCCAATATGGACAAAAAGGTAGTAGTAGTCAGGTCTGAATAAAATAAACATGCAAATAGTAAAATAATAAAATTATATTAAAAGAAAGTAATATAATTCTAAGGTGGAAAGAGGAATGTGGCAACCAAATGTATAATAGCCAAATATTTATTAACACTTAGATTATATAAAAAGTTCCTATATGCGTTTCGCCACAATAGGCTTCATCAAGTAGAAACTTATAAAAAGAGAAAACAGACCTAACATATAGCACTTATATAACAAAACATAAAATTGCATAGATAAATTGAAATTCCCGCCAAAATGACGTCACCAGCGTCATGGGAGTGGACACAATTCAATAAAAATTTAGAAAATATGAAAAATCAATATAAGAGTGTTTAAAATATAGTATATAAGTCAGAAGCATTATTTGTACAAAAAATATTCAAAAAAACGAGGCTTTACAGTGTCAGAAATTACATAAATTATAACATCACGTGACGCGGAAGTAAACAAGAATGCGTCACGTGATATTAGGTTAGGTAGGAGCCTCTGGGTGGAGTGTTATTATCAGAGAGGCAAGGTCAATACTCAGAGAGCACTGAGTTATATGGTGTAGGTGGTTGCACCAGTAGAGCATCATTCTAGGAACATACACTCTACAAGCTCAAAACCCATCAGAGGTCACTAACATATTCCAACAGATAAACATAGGTGAATGCCATTAGAACTAAATGTAAACATAGCTACAATTGTAACATTAACTCCTTAAGGACGGAGCCAAATGTACACATTGCGAACAAAACAAAACCTGGCATTTGCTGTTCAACTCTTTCATATTAAATGCACCCACACTTATTATATATCATTTTGTTCAGGAGAAACAGGGCTTTCATTTAATATCAAATATTTATATATGAAACATAATTTATTATGAATAAAATTTAAAAAACTGTGAGAATTTTTTTTTTTTTTTAAATTTGTAGTTCCGCCTCACATTTTAGCTGTAAATGTCATAATACTGTTAGGTTTTACTGCAAAAAAATGCACATATTTGTAATCAGCGATGTCTCACGAGTACAACAGTACCCCCCATTACCAGGTTTTAAGGTGTTTTGGAACGTTCCATTTACAAATTGAAATTTGCCAGTTTAGCAATGTTACCTTTGAGACGGTGTGGTAGCCCAGGAATGAGAATTACCCCCATAATGGCATACCATTTGAAAAAGTAGACAAGCCAGGGTATTGAAAGTGGGGTATGTTTACTCTTTTTTAGTAGCCACTTAGTCACAAACACAGGCCAAAGTTAGCGTTCATATTTATTTTTGTGTGAAAAAAGCAAAAAACTAATATTTGGCCAGTGTTTGTGACTAAGTGGCTACTAAGAAAGACTGGACATACCCCACTTGCAATACCTCGGGTTGTCTACTTTTGCAAATGGTATGCCATCATGGGGGTAATTCTCATTCCTGGGCTATCATATGCTCTCAAAGCAACATAACCAATCTGGCAAATTTCAATGTCAAAAAAATGAAATGCAAGCCTTATATGTGACTCTCTAACTTTCCAAAACACCATAAAACCTGTACATGGGGGGTACTGTTATTCTCGGGAGACTTCACTAAATACAAATGTTAGTGTTTTAAAACAGTAAAGAATATTAGAACAATAATATAGTCCATAAACATGATGTTCGTTTGTAAAAAATGCAAAAAACTTCACTTTTACTTAAAATATCATCGTTGTAATACAATTTACCAGTTTTAAACACTAATATTTGAGTTCAGCGAAGTCTCCTGAGTAAAACAGTACCCTCTATGTGCAGGTTTTATGGAGTCTTGGAGAGTTACAGGGTCAAATATAGTGCTTGCGAATTAAATTCTCTGCACTTTCTCCCTGTGTTGTCAGGCATGTCAATCAAATTTTAATTAATCAAATCACATAATTATGTTAAAAGATTACTTAAATATACATGTAGAATTTTAATATATATGCATTTATAGGTATTTAAATTCTACGTGTATACTAATGTAATCTTTTATGTAATTATATGTATTTATCTCTATATATTTATTTGCGGTTATTTGTATTTTATATCTAGATAGATATATATAGAATGTCATTCTAAGTGTATTTTGTTACCAATATATATATATATTAATAACAAAATACAGTTAGAATGAAATTACATATGAATATATAATTTATATTAAATTTTGTTTCAATATTTAATTTATTTATTTTATTATTTAATTTATTTATTATTGTAATTATACGTATAAATATATATATATATATATATAATATATGTGTATATATCTATTATATATATAATATATATACATATTATATATATGTAATGTCATTCTAAGTGTATTTTAGTATTAGTATATATTTATATTAATATTAAAATACATTACGTATGACGTTATATGTATCTAATATGTATATATATATTATATACATAATATATATACATATATTATATATATATATATATATATAAATATATTTATTTTATTTTAACATTTTTTTTTATTTTTTTTTTACACTTTCCACCAGCAGGGGGACTGTCTGATATTTCAGACAGCCCCCCTGCTGGCAGATCCACAGCCAGCTATAGGGGGCCATGTGATCGCTCTTTGAGAGCAATCACATGGCCCCAGGGGGCCTCATTCACCGGAGGAGGGCTGCCTAGGCAGTTTGGCAGCCCTCCAGAAGAGGATCGCGGCGGAGGTGAGTACCGCCGATCCTCTGGGGCTGAAAGCCGTTACGGCGTTCTATGCCGCCGCAACGGCTTTGAAGCCCATTAAAGCCGCGACGGCATAGAACGCCATAACGGCGTTAAGGGGTTCATAAAATACAATATATGTATACAAAAATATAAATTATATATGCTATAATATATTAAAAGGTAAGTATAAAAAGAAACATACTGAAAATAAGTTGAGAAAAATAATAACAAATACAGTGAATTAATATAATCAAATAATTTTAAAATTATAGTTGGAGGGTTGCATAAAAGCTAAAAAACTGAAAAAAAAACCACAAAACTTTTTTTACTTTTGTTTAAAAAAGATTACAAGAAATTAAAAAGGTCAAATTCTATATTGAGGTCTAGTGGAGTGAGGGTCTTCAAGTTATAAGCCCATTCCATTTCTTTACTACCTAAGATCTTTTTTATATTGCCTCCTCTACATGGGATTTCACATACATCGATACCTATACATTTAAGTAATTTGGGATTTGTACTATGCATTAAAAAGTGCTTGGATACTGAATGATTTTCATAATCTTTAGAGATGTTACGACAATGTTCCGCTAACCTAATTTTAAGATTTCTGGTTGTCATACCAACATACTCAGGGGCGGACTGACCACTTGGGCATATCGGTCATGGACCGAGGGCCCGAGGCAGTCAGGGGCCCGGCCGCACAGACATGCTCCAGCTGGAGAGATCAGAGATCTCTCCAACTGGAATGGCAAAAAATAATAAAATAAAACTTTTTAATTGATAGGTTGTGGGGCCCCTGATGCAGCACAGCGCCCCACAACCTACCGCTCTGTAAATCCACCCCCTCCCAATGAGACCTGGCAGCTTCACCTCCTCTCTGCCAGGTCTCCTTCTCCCTGTCCCACGCGGTGCTCTGTGTGATGGGAGAGGCAGGGCCAGGAAGTGACCTCACTTCCTGTTTACTCCTCTCACACAGAGCCCAGAGAGGGGAAGGAGCTGCAGCCTGGGAGAGAAGAGGAAGCAGAGAGACAGGTAGGCACTAATCACCCCTCCCCCTCACTTTTACTAATCACCCCTCCCCCTCACTGCCACTAGTCACCCCCCCACTGTCACTAGTCACCCCCCCACTGCCACTAGTCCCCCCCACTGTCACTAATCACCCCCCCCACTGTCACTAGTCACCCCCCAACTGTGTCACTAGTAACCCCTTCCCTCCCTCACTTTGTCGCTAGTCACCCCTTCCCTCCCTTACTCTGTCACTAGTCACCCCATCCTTCACTCTGTCACTAGTCACCCCCTCCCTCACTCTGTCACTAGTCACCCCCTTCCTCTGTCACTAGTCACCCGCTCCCTCACTCTGTCACTAGTCACCACCTCCCTCACTCTGTCACCAGTCATCCCCTCACTCTGTCACCAGTCATCCCCTCACTCTGCCACTAGTCACCCCTTCCCTCACTCTGTCACCCCCTCACTCTAGTGACAGAGTGAGGGACGGTGTGACTAGTGACAGAGAGAGGGAGGGGGTGACTAGTGACAGAGAGAGGGAGGGGTTGACTAGTGACAGAGAGAGAGAGGGGGTGACTAGTGACAGAGTGAGGGAGGTTGTGATTAGTGACAGAGGGAGGGATGAGGTGACTAGTGACAGTCACCACCTCCTTCACTCTGTCACTAGTCACCCCCTCCCTCACTCTGTCATTGTCACCCCCTTCCTCACTCTGTCACTAGTCACCTACTCCCTCCCTCAGTCTGTCACTAGTCACCCCCTCTCTCACTCTGTCACTAGTCATCCCCTTCCTTACTGCCACTAGTCACCCCCTCCCTCTCTCTGTCACTAGTCCCACCCACCCTCACTCTGTCACTAGAGTGAGGGGGTGACTAGTGACAGAGTGAGGGCGTGACAGGTGACAGAGGGAGGGGATGACTGGTGACCGAGTGAGGGAGGGGGTGACTAGTGACAGAGTAAGGGACGGAGGGGGTGACTAGTGACGGAAGGAGGGGTGGAGTAGTGACAGAGTGAGGGAGGTGGTGACTAGTGACAGTCACCACCTCCCTCACTCTGTCACTAGTCACCCCTTCCTTCCCTCACTCTGCCACTAGTCAACCCCTCACTCTAGTGACAGAGTGAGGGAGGGGGTGACTAGTGACAGAGTTAGGGAGGGAAGGGGTGACTAGTGACAGAGTGAGGAAGGGGGTGACTAGTGACAGAGGGAGGGGTGACTAGGGACAGAGTGAGGGAGGTGGTGACTAGTGACTAGTGACAGTCACCACCTCCCTCACTCTGTCACTAGTCACCCCCTCCCTCACTCTGTCACTGTGTCACCCCCTCCCTCTGTCACCCCCTCCCTCACTCTGTCACTGTGTCACCCCCTCCCTCTGTCACTGGTCACCCACTCCCTCCCTCACTCTGTCACCAGTCATCCCCTCACTCTGTCACTAGTAACCCCTTCCTTCCCTCACTCTGCCACTAGTCACCCCTTCCCTCACTCTCTCACCTGTCACCCCCTCACTCTGTCACTAGTCACCCCCTTACTCTAGTGACATAGTGAGGGAGGTTGTGACTAGTGACAGTGAGGAAGGGTGTGACTAGTGACAGAGTGAGGGAGGGTGTGACTAGTGACAGAGAGAGGGAGGAGGTGACTAGTGACAGAGAGAGGGAGGGGGTGACTAGTGGCAGAGTGAGGGAGGGAAGGGGTGACTAGTGACAGTCACCACCTCCTTCACTCTGTCACTGTGTCACCCCCTTCCTCACTCTGTCACTAGTCACCCACTCCCTCCCTCACTTTGTCACTAGTCACATCCTCTCTCACTCTGTCACCAGTCATTCCCTCACTCTGTCACCAGTCATCCCTTCCTTTCCTCACTCTGCCACTAGTCATCCCTTCCCTCACTCTGCCACTAGTCATCCCTTCCTTCACTCTGTCACCATTCACCCCTTCCTTCCTTCACAGTGACAGAGTTAGGGAGGGAGTGACTAGTGACAGAGAGAGGGATGGGGTGACTAGTGACAGAGTGAGGAAGGGGGTGACTAGGGACAGAGGGGGTGATTAGTGACAGAGTGAGTGAGGGGGTGACTAGTGACAGAGTGAGGGAGCAGGTGACAAAGTGACAGAGAGAGGGATGGGGTGACTAGTGACAGTCATCCCCTCCCTCACTCTGTCACTAGTCACTCCCTCCCTCTGTCACTAGTCACTCCCTCCCTCTGTCACCAATCATCCCCTCACTCTGTACTAGTCACCTCTTCCCTCCCTCACTTTGCCACTAGTCATCTCTTCCCTCCCTCCCCCACTCTGCAACTAGTACCCATTCCCTAACTCTGTCACTAGTCACCCCCTCTCCCTCCCTCTGTCACTAGTCACCCACTCCCTCACTCTGTCACCAGTCACCCCCACTCACTGTGTCTCCCCCTCACTCTGCCACCACTCAACCCCTCCTTCCCTCAGTCTGCCACCAGGTACCCCCTCACTCTGCCACCTGTCACAACCTCCCACACTCTTCCATCTGGCACCTTCTCCCTCACACACTCTGTCACCTGTCACATATGTATTCACACAGACACTATATACAAAAAAGCACATGTAGTCATCCAGACATGCACAAGTGCATTCACACAGACTCAAATACAAACATGCATTGATACACAGGTCTTCACAATATACACATCCAAAGGAATGCCGTATTATGAGTTATATTTAACATTTATTTAATGCATGTATATTTGGCCTTCAAAGGGCCTGGGATCTAATTTTGCTCGGGGGCCCCAAAGGTTCTCAGTCCGCCCCTGAACATACTGGAGCCCACATGGGCACTGCAGCAAGTAAATCACATTTTTTGTGTTGCAATGGATAAAATTATTTATTTGATAAGTCTTCTGTGTGGCGGATGACATAAAGGAAATGGTCTTTGACTTAATGGTCGCATCAGTACGTTTACAGGCTATGCACTTATTACATTTAAAAAAAACCTTAGGTTTAGTAAACGGGGAGGGGGAACTTAAGTGGGAGGCAATGCTTTTTGCTTTAGTAAAGTTATTTGTGAGGATAGATTTGAAGCTGAGTGCTCCTCTAAATATAACATGAGGTTTATCAGGAATAATCGCAGCCAGAATATCATCCTGTTTTAATATATGCCAGTATTTATTTATGATTTTTTTTACAACATGACTTTTGTTGTTAAAATCAAAAATGATTGGCAATGATGGGACACCCTCAGTGGTTGTCTTATCTTTATATTCTAAGAGATCTGGTCTATGTTTCTCTTTAACAGTATTTCTAGTTGTATTAAAACGTATCTGATTGTCTTTGATCTTATTTTCGGCTTTTAGAATCCCTTCTACTGCCAAACAACCGTCCACATGAGGAATAATGGTGTACAGAGATTGTACATCACAAGTGACTAAAATATATGTATCTTTCCATGTAAAATCATTTAACAAATGAAGTAGGGTCATAGAGTCTTTTAAATAGGATTTCATACGTTTTACTGAGGGCTGTAGTAGAGTATCTAGGTATTCAGATAAGTTTGATAAAACTGTGTTGATGCCGGACACATTATTAATATCTTTATGGATTTTTGGTAAAAAAATAAATAACAGGGATTTTTAGATGGGAGATATTTAAAAATTCGAACTCATGTTTGGTTAGAATATTTTGCTCTCGGCCATTTAGTAAAAATTAATTTAAAATTTGTTGGATATTACTGGTAGGGTCTTTGTCTAATTTTTCATAGATGTTGGGATCATTTAGTTGTCTCATCGCCTCTTTAATGTACATTTCTTTAGGTAATATAACCACACCACCTCCTTTATCTGCTGATTTAATAACAGTATTCTCGTCCTTTTGTAATTCAAGGAGTGCATTCCTTTCTGCTTTAGTAAGATTATTCTGATCAAATTTACTCTTCTTTATTTTTTTCTAGGTCTTTCATTACCAATTTTTCAAAGACTTGTTTTTAAATTTGAGAGGACAACTGTCACTAAGATTGTCTCTTTTTATTATATTATTATAATAACAAACCTTGGAGCATGTAATAAAAAGATATAGCATTTTTTTTTAAATAAAGTATATGCGAAAATAAAGTATATGCAAATATACTTGAAACACAGAACACTAGATCCCCCTGCCATATTCGGTTTGGACTTTGGTTGAATCCAAATGTTAGATTCCTGCTCCACTCCCTGCACAGAGAGGTGATGTCATCAGCCATCGGCTTGTGTGCTCTGCTTTGACCAAATTTGGCAATTATCATATTTACTTAAGCCGAATGCAGTCAGCATTCAGTCAGTCCAACGATTTTGTAACATTGGTTCGGATGAGGAAGTCACTGATTTTCCAAACTCATCTAAATTAATCTAGAGCACCAGATTCACTTGCTATTTGCAAATAAATGTTAATTTTAAGAACTATTTGTCTGCTGACAGCACTAGTAGCCAACAGGAAAATAGTTAAAAATCCTCGGCAGCACAAGGGTTAATTATGTGGCAGGTGGCCAGTTTTTGCTAGCCAGCTGCCAAATGCAAATTGTAAATAAATAAATAAATAAATAAATAAATAAAAGCTGGGTTTTAATAAGACCCCATGCTGCTACAATAGAGGTATTTTTCATCCACATACCCCATCGGCCATCAGGCTGGTTAGGCATATCTACTAAACATTAAAACTAGTGAATGGACAGCCATTGCTGCCCAGTTGCTAGAAAAAGCTCCATCTCATAGGGATGGGACCTGATAAAAAAAGATGGGGAGATACTATAAATTCTAAGGCTGGGGGCCTAGTGTCCCCTTACCCATCCCCCATCTATGCTGGTGGTTAGGGGCCTTAATAAGTATAATAAAGGCTATTGAACTTACTGCTGCCAATGGAATCCTATACTAATCCAGTGAAAGAATACATTTCGCCGAGCAAGGAGAGGCTTGTGACAGTGTACTATGTATAAACAACATGCACTAAACTGTAGATTCTCAGGGTAACTCACAAACGTTTGAGTTGTCTGTAATTCAAAGTGCATTTCAAATTTCAGGCTAAAATAGATAAATAAGAAATGTCTGAGAAAAGTGTACCTGTGGATGTAGCGGAGCGCTAGTTTAACAGAGGCTTTCCTCCGCTGGTATTCCAACAGCTACTCAGGAACAAGCAGGATATTATAAGAAGCACAGCATAAGTAGTAAATATATCCACAAATCTCCCATCACCCTTCCAAATAACTGGACGACACTCAGTATCAGGAGCAAAACTGATTTTTAATGCCACACACTCTGCTTTTATGCAATTCTCCCATGCAAGGGAGACACCTACAGAAAATTAGGAATTATCCACTCACTAGCTGGTTACTGTACACATATTCCCTCCCCTCAGCATGAGAGGTAACTTAATTATCTGTACATTTTAAACACACATTTTTCTCCAATTCTTAGATGTACCCCAAAACTATAACCTACACCCATAAATCACATATCACCTGAAAGCCCCGATCTGGGTGAGCAACATACTAAAAATTCACCCAGATCGGTTCAGGGGTTCACGAATTTCCTGGAGGTCTTAGTTTTACAGACCACACACGAGGTGTATGCCCCAAATATTTCCACACGAAAGGGCTGTGTGGTTGGTCTTTGTTCGACTATCCAAAACAGACGAAATCCCAGGGTTAAGACATTCGTGACTTAGTTCATCATGATACCCTCGTTTGTGTATTGATTCTCAGAAACTACCGCTTTTTTCGGTTGGATTTTCACGAACTTCCATGAGGGTGGATGTTTTAGCGGTGTTCGTGCTGTCGAGTGTCTGATTTGGGTTCCAGACACTGCTGGTGTTGTTTGTATGCCAAGATGGTCACCACCAAGTGTTCATCTATACGAACGACGGCCACCCTGAAGATCACACAGGGGTTCGGGCATTTGCGGTTAAGTAGGTATGCTTGAGGTTAATGGGGTTAAGTGGTGCCACACTCCACTCCTAGGTGGCCGGGTTGTTTGGTACTTTGTTCGTTTTGACGAACCATATAGGTGAATTCAATATAGCTGATGTTAGTACCGAACAAATACACAAAATAACATAGGAACACAGTGTTGCAATAGAGGGTTACAAGTTAACAAAATAAATATATACACACAGCGGTAAGGACAGCCTCTAGTACCAAAACGGGGTACTGACTTATAGCCCATTTCGCTACAGTGGACTACCACTCCGAACACTCATTCAGGCCTTGTTTGTTTGGAATTGATGAGAGTTAAAGCTCCCAACATCTTCAGTGTCCAAGGGGACACTATATTTTTTTAAGTTGAATCCCTTAATGATCGCCAAGCTCTAATTACACAAATCAGTGCAAAAAAAACCCAATAGATAAAATATGCATTGCAACTTAGAAATGTCTACTTTAGACAATTATGATTGTAATTCCTAAATAACACCAATAATCTTAAGTTATACAGCCAGCACAACTATAAGCATATAAAAGCGGTGGCTTCATTGGTGAAATATGAATGATGGAAATCGTATTTCAGGAAAGTAAAATAAAGTTGTAGAATAAAGTTTTTTCCTTGAATAGCAATGAATTAGATTGCATTAAGCGTTCTACAGATGTTTTTGGTATGCTTTCTTGTTTTCCCAGTGCAATTCCTAAGGAAGTCAAAGTACATTTTTTTCCCAATATATAGCTGGTAATACACATAATTACTTGCTGCAATCACAGTGATAATCAGCTCTTCACTTTCTCCCTGCTAATTATAGCAGCATTTTCTTTCTCTGAGGACTCGAGTGAAATAAAACTTAGCATAATCTACTACTGAGCATACGTCTGCAGAAACCCATTCATTCTCCTTCTATGTGATTGATGAATGTGGCATATCACAGTTACTGTAGCTACACTGTACATGTGTATCAGCATGATCCTTCAAAGGCAGAATTCAGGGAGAGATAGATTAGAATATAAACTGTCTAATAGTAAAAATCAAAAAGAGTGGCATACAATGTCCAATCAGGCTATTCAACTAGATATTAATAATAAACAGAATTTTTTAAAATTATTTTTTCTATCCACTGGAAATGGACAAACTTCCCCCACAAATGCAACTTAGAAATTAATATTTTAAAGAATGTAACTTTCTGATATAAAATTCTATAATTGACTTGAGGTGTGATTCAATTTCACATACCTTGTGGAATATTAATCTTGTGAGCTTGCTCCTTAAAACCATTGTGGATTACATATCTGGACTCTCATTAT